GCAACTATTTTTGTGTCTTAATCATCAGCGATGGTGACGCACAAAATTACTATTTTAGAAACCATTTCAATTTCCACGACCTTGCAGCAGAACAACAGCATATAATACTCAGACTATGTTCTCCTCAGGTACAGAATATGTGCTCTATTCAGGGTTAAATGCTGTCTATGCAAGTTTAAATGCCATTTTACATTTGAGCCAGTGACATTTATTGCTAAACTACTGAAAGCAGTAGCAGATTACCATTAGCCGTTAGCAGACAGTTTGAAAATGAAAGTCAGAACTGTGACTCATTGCAAATCAACAACATCAGTCACTCATTAATAATGTTTAATAGATTTATTATGTATTAATTAGATTAAAAGCTTTTACTGTTTCATTGGCAGTGCAGTGGCTGATATTTAAAGTGCGCTTGAAATCTAAATTTACACTGTTTATTTTGTTAGCTTACGTTGTTATGTGTAGGGTGAATAATTAATCTGTGCAAGTTAATCCACTGAAAAAATGTGTTAGTAGTATGGCTGTACAATTGATTGCTATAGAAAAATGATTGGGATCTTGATTCGACTCTTCACACCAGTGGTGTCAAACTCAATTATTGGAGGGCTGTAGTCCAGTTCCAGCACTGCTTCAACACCTATCTGTAGGTATCAAACAAGCTTAAAGCACTCGACTAGTTTGATCAGGTGTGTTTAAAGCTCGGGTTGGCCCTCTAGTAACTGGTTTTGACACATGTGCTCTACACGATCTCAATCCAGCATCTCTACGAATAATGTTCAAACAGATTGCAAGTATATGTCTCAAACATAATAATTCAACTTTAGAATTATGAATAGTTATATTCTGATGTCATCACTTTACTGTGCGTTTACTACCAGGACAAATTTAAAGCCTATTCAAGTCCACCATTTAAAGTCTATACAAGATTTAGCATTTTAACCAACAGTAGACCTATACAAAGGCCTAATGTTATTATTATTATTGTTTTACCATATATATTTGAGAAATAACAATAAAGCTAGCTTACTAATATTAAACTTTATTATACATCTAAAGAGTCATGAGAGAATTGTGATTCTCATTTTAGCCAGATTCGTGCAGCCCTAGATTGTAGTGGTAATCTTCAATTAAAAAAAAACTCTTGACCATTCCATGTTTGGAGTGGAGGTCCTTCTATTGACATCAACCTTAGAGATTACACAACAACTGCATATTAATACCTTCTCTTATCTTTAAGTTTGCTAATTGCTATGATGGAATGCTGCACAAAAGAAAGTCCAGCCCCTACTCAATATCTCATTTCAGTTGAAAGTCCATCAACATAATGAAATAAGTCTCAGCAACTTACAGGTGATGCAGATTTTAAAGAACACATGAAATCAAAACTAACGTTGCTAGTTTTGTGGTGAACATTTCATTTGTGCATGTCATGATTAGGAAAAAAATGTTTGCCCTTCTAATCTTTAATTGAAATCTGAAAGTGCACTTCCTGTTTGTTTTTAGTTCAATTCTTAGATTGGGGCTGTCCGAGGTATTGGATGTGGTTAACATATTTAACCACGCCCCTCCAACTGTCAGTTTTGACAGAGCAATGACGACAAACAGAAATGGTGAGAAGGAGGTGTCTGTTAGGTTGTAATAGCTTTCTCAAAACTTTTTCCCATTCTTTAGGAATGAAATGCATAATTTACTACATCAAATCAGCTCACAGTAGATTAAAAACAAGCCACTGCCACTGTTTTCTCAAACAATATTTGTTTCTCTAGGAACTGCATCACAATATGATTTAAAAAATGGCCGCAGCTACTGATTCATGCTGTACTGTAAATGTTTTGGTGCAGACAGACAAATTGCTTGTTGCTGGAATCTTGTTATGTCACGTATTGTTAGGACACGGTGGAAGTGTATTTTTAACTGCATTTAGAATATGTGGCTATTTATTATTGGCCATTTCTCTTAGATGCCATATCTTCACCACAGACTTAGTTGGGTTTTTTTCAAGCATTAACATTGTCATCCTTTTGTTTCAGTTATCAAAACTAGGTTAGAGTTTGGCTGCCGCTTTAAAACTTAATACTTTCCCAGTGATTTACGCCTTCATATAAAACGGCTGGATTTTATATTATTCATCTATATCTCTTATCTCTCTACCAATTAATTGATTAATGTTTTCTTTTAAGACAAAGCAAATGCACACCAAATCATCACTGTATGAAGATATTTAGGCTACACCATGCCTCAGTTGAACAGTTCTCCTTCAGTAGAACACTGTTCGAAATCTAAATGTATAGATAATGGTTAATGATCTGGAAGTACATTACCACTTCTTTTTCAGTTAAGTGTAGGGGAGAGCGGAACGTATGTAACGTGGGACAAAAGTATCAAAGTGGTTTTCTCTAAGCTCTGTCAACATGTGCTTTATAGGCAGCACATTCAGCATGCAACCCTTGATGGAGCTGCCAAATATCACCTGATTTTGGGACTGTGTATTTGTTAGCTCCGAATTTTAGTTTTTAAGTACAAAAAGTAAATTATTGTAGCTGTCCTTTTTTTCTGTATTACAAGTTGTGTTTATTTCAGATGTTTAATTAAATGAATTAATTTTGCCAGTATTAATAAAAAATATTCTAAAATTGTAGAAAATGTCAACATTTTGCAATGTTGGATTGCTTCTGAAACATTTGATGGCGCTGAAATTTTAAATGAAAATCCAGTTTAATATTTTTTGAAAAATTAAAGGACAAAATATATTTGCAATAAACAAGGTCATAGTCAGATATATTTAAAATACACAAGAATAAGTCAGTAAATCTAGCAAATATTGTTCTTACTTTTGACTCACCTGTGTGTTACTTTTGTCTTTGCTTAAAAGTAACAATGTGCAACTTTTGTTTAAAGTGAAGTTATATAGGGTATTTCCCATATATATCCCGATATACTTCCTGTGAATGATAAAATTGACTTTTTTTTATTTTATTTATATATTGTTTACAGCATTGATGTTGCTATGTAATTAAAAATCAGTTAAATAGACTTCAGCATTCATTTATTTGTTTAAGCTTGATAAGAGCGCAGAAACACCATTGCAAATATGGGGTAAAATAAATGTCCATATTTTAAAGACATGGTAAAATGTAATTTAATGCAGTGCTTCTTGTACAACCCGAGACCCACTTATTGTATATCAATCAGGCAGTAAAGATTGTTGTTTTTTAAAGAAAACAGACCTTAAACATGCCAATTTTGTAACAGCAAACAGTTTGACCCAGGTTACTGAAAAATTAAAAACCCTTCTGCATATAGAGATGTTCTACATGAATTCAAAATAACACCTGACTGTGACAGACCCCCTCTTGTGAGTTAGTAACCACAGCAAAAATATATTTCTGTTAATTTGTTTTTTTTTTATGAAATATGGTTCTTTCATCCCTGCTCTCCCCCTACTGAAATTTCCCTTTTCCCTATAAACAACCCATTGCAATGCAGTAAATCAGCTGTGAATAAAAAACAACACAAAGTTAAATATTTACACAGTGTGAATGTAAAGTGTATAAACATTTTTGTTAGTTTGTTTCTTTAAATATAAATTTTAAGGAATACTAAATCAAGTAAAAAGATAATAGGCAATTTTGTGTCAGAAAACTAAAATACTGTTTTAGTTTCTGTAAGTTTGCAACAATTTGTTTTAAACAAAAGTGTAACTTTATTGAACATATTGTGTTTTTTATCATTATTGTTGCTTCAAAAGAACACTGTAGCAGCATAATTGTCTCAAAATGAAATCCATTTGTAGCTGTAAAATAATGCACTAGAAGACCAAAATACACTGTGAAAAATGTATATGATGGATTAATTTCTGGCAGAATGATATCAGAAAATAATCTCACTGTAGACCATTTCAATGTGGTCATGTCAATGGCCCATGAACATTTCCTGCTTGTTATCAAACTCAATCAAACCTTAATGTTAAAACAGCTCTCATAACATCATTTATCAATATGTGGCTCTTTTTACATTCTCGAAAGACAAGTGAAGTTTATTTATAAACTGATTTCGAGAGGATCACGTGCTTATGGTTGCTTGCAGCCGGTCCCGCATTATTCAATTTATGATTCACCAATCAGATGATTCCTAAGCCACTATAAATACACTAAGTTTCACAAAATGACCATATTCGTTTTGAAGAACCCCCCTTCCACCTCCTTCTCCTTTCCTAGATGAGTGGCACGGTGGCCCAGTGGTTAGTACTGTTGCCTCTCAAGGATCTTATGAGCTCAGGGCTCTCTCCCGTGACAGCATGCCAAACAAGCTTTATAATCAATCATCAGCTAAGTGTGAACTCTTGAAAGAAATAAAAAATGTAAAACAGTAAATACGTTGTGACCATTGTTTTTGCTTACATCCCTCAAAATGGTCTATATTGTTTTATTGTTATTTTTTGTGAACAACATTTTTGTGAATTGAATGCATATATTAACCATTATATACAAATATAATAGACTCAGTTGGGTGTGTTTTACCCCTCGACAAATATTAGTGAGGATTCTTTTATATTTCCCTGTAGTATTTATATTTACACTGAATTATTATTCAGTTTTAAACCCCTAAAATAGGATTACATGGTGGCAGATCTTTTGCAGTGCAATTTATGAATGTGTTTATATTAGCCTGAGGTTTCACACACATTGTACATTAAAAAGGGCAAGAAGCTAAGCTTGACAAGCATTCTGTAATGAGAAAGGTCAAAAACCAGCCTGTCTGAATTAGATTTGACTTAAGAAACTAAGGCTTGTTCCTGGAAGGATTATTGGAGCAAAAGCTTCAGTATTTCTACACCTGAGCAGATATAATCATTTAAACGATAAATCGTGCCTAGACAGCTCTGATAACCTCGGTCGAACTTTTTCCCCTTTGGAAATTATTCCATTATCTAGTTTCTGAGTAGGCTATTGCTGATGATGAGATAGTCCAAGGCAGTCCATTATGTAATAGCTGTTGATCCAAGGCACTTGCTCGCTGCATGAGATCAAGCACTGACCAACAGAGAGTTTTCCGGAGCGGTGGGGTCTAAACCTCCTCATTTTTTGGGGGGGATTCTGTTGTTGTGGGTATTTTTCATCCCTCAACTACCTGAGTGATGCTAACGAGAGCTCGTCCCAGCGCAGCGGCGGCTTTCACGAATGCAGCGCATGAATATTATCTGGAGCTGCACGCTACTTCGGAAGTAGGTCACCGATTAAACGTGTCTTGTCAGCTGTGTGTGCTCCCCTCGTTTCATTTCACTGTTGAACATCGATATTATTGTAATAGCCCGACAACTGGACCCTCGTCGCTTGCGGAATGTGATTATTTGATCGGGAATACGGCGGAGTGAGTGGATGACGAGGTAAATGAAGGATTACTAATCTGTTTTATCTTGGTTATGCGCTTTTCTCTCGCGCTCGCTCTCCGCTGGGGAAACAGCCCGAAACATGACATGATCCGCGATCATTTTTCGCTATGAATTCGGTTCGAGAGATGCTTTTTTGAGTTCGACTTGAGAAACTGTTCTTCCGTCGTGCTCAGGATACCGCCGCGGAGCTCGGAAATTTCGCCAGGGACCGATCGAGCGCTTTCCGCTTCGGCGTTTGATTCTCACGGTTGGCCGTTTAGTGTCGATTTCAGCACTGGCGGTGATAGCTCGGGTTCGAGTTGGCCGTGGTGGTTCGGTTTCGCAGTTATGAGGTATGCGGTGGATGAAACCGTGGGATGAGAGACGAACAACGTTGTTTTTTTTAGTGTGTGTGTGTGTATGTGTGTTATGTGTGTGTGATACGCCCTATGAGCCGCGCGAGCTCCTCTCATCATCATACACCTCCAGCACGCGCTCGCTGCCTTTATCCAGGATTACTTTAATCGCGCTGTACATTTCACTGAGATGTTTCCTTCTTTCTGGTTTCTATCCACACCTTCCCGTTCTCCATATCTGCAGTGTAGGAGGAAATACAACAGCTTTTCGCGCACAGTCAGTGGCTGAATTTCAGATTACACGAAGGGAACAACAACAACTTTGGTCTTCGCGTCAGATATCACGTTTAAAGCGCCTATTGAAACGCAGACTATGCGCGTTTTTCTCTTTAACGTTTTCGTTTTACCCGACATGCCAGATGGCTATCCGGTTATTTGCCAGAAAGTCATGGGCTGATACCTCAACCCGAAAAAAAACACCCGGAATGCTGGTAAATTATGGGCAGCGGTCCATTTCCCTTCACCCACTCCTGAAACTAGAAAGGGAACCTCTAATTTTCCACAGCATAGTGCCAACAATTCATCGTCCAGCTACCTTTGACTGGGGAGTTTGTTTTGTGTCAGTCAATTGGACGTGACCAGCAGTTAGTCTATTATTTTATGAGCCCCACATCCGTCCAGATCAATAACTTGTGACATTCGCAGAATTACAGACTGTTGATTTAGATTTTAGTGGTCCTTCGGATGTTTATTTAAAGCTTTTGACATTGGTGAACACACACCGTGAGATTGAATTGCTGTAATTGCTGTGAAGCAAGTAGAATGGATTTAAAAGCTTACAGTTTTTCTTTTATGTGTTAAGTTTTTAATCAGGTTAATGTTGATTTTGTGAAATTTTAGAAATGCAAGATGTAATTTTTTCAAAAAAAAATCAAAGATTGCTGTATGTTTATTCACCCTGAGACCACACAATATAGATGACTTTTTTCTCTTCAGCTTAGAGATTTTTTTTCGTTATATGAAACTGTGGTCCTTGGTGATACCTGGAATGCCTATCAATGGCTGCTGGTACTCTAAAGTAGAAAACTAAACAAAACCATATACTGGCCTATCAAAATCAAATTCTGTGGCTCCTGATGACTGAAGTCTTAAGGTCCATGCAAGAAAATAATACTGACTCTGTTTTTTTGTTTTTTTTACTGTTTTACTGCATCATCAAGGATAATCAAAAGCAAGGACTGTTAAAATGAGCAATACAGCACAAGTGTTCTTCCTCGCTGTTGTAAACACTGCATCACATGTGAGTTTGCGCTTATGTATACATCATTATGCAACTCACTCGTAAAAACTGCTCAGCGCAGTTTGCTGAGGCTGTGGATTAAAGTTAATCATGTTGTAAGTGTTTAGTTTTGGATTATTTTGCCTTTCAAGATCTTAATGTATCAGGAGTCATTCATGTAGTTTTGCATGTAGTTCATGCATTTTAGTTTCTATGTAAAATCTTGCAAACTTTCATTAAATCTCTTGAAAAAATATTAGTCATTACAATAACAAAACTTACTGTACATTAGGAAGGTTTCAATTACAGTAATCCCAAGTGTATAACTTTGGTTTGGGAAGTAGCGTGACGCAAAATGGGGAAACTTGTTTTAGGGGAAAATATAATACTGGAAATAATGACATTAATTATAATGATAAATTCTGCCAAGTGTAATAGTCGACTATAAATTATGTACAAGAAGAATATGTTTTTTCTTAATTGTTTAATAAAAGCCAGTCAACAGTAATCATTTCAAAAGGTCAAAAATGTTTGTCATTCAATGGATAGGCATCCAAAACTAAATATTTACTCACCATTTACTCACTCTCAAGTGGTTCCAAACCCTTTTCAGCTTTTTATTCTGTTAAATGCAAAATAAGATGTTTTGTAGAATGCTGTAAACCTGCAACCATTGACTTCCATCGAAGGAAAAAAGTAATTACTGTGGAAGTCAGTGGTTTCTTCCGAATATCTTCATGTGTGTTTAACAGAAGAAAGTCAAACAGGTTTTAAACAAGTAAAAAGTGAGTAAATGATGACCAAATAAAAAAAACTTTTGCGAAATATCCCTTTAATCTTTTGTTTTTTGTGAATGACATTTAAATGCATTGAGGCACAACTTCCACTGTTAAACTATTATTCTAACTTCTGTAACTGAAAATGTTAAATAAATGACAGATTCTGTCTTACAGAAAATCTGATTTTCCTGACCTGAGCTAATAGACTCAATCAGCCAACTCACATCTCCTTTCTTTCTTTTCATCCATGATGACATTAAAGTCATCTGTTGCTGCTTCTGGTGTTTCATCGCTGACTGTGCTGCAACCACGATACCTGCTTGTTAGAACTTTCGGTGAGCTATTTTTAGAGCGTAGACTCTTTTCTACAAAGGCAGATTCTCTGTGTCCTGCCCCATCCTGCATCTCCGTGGCGATGATTTGCTTGTGTATAAAAATCATAACAAATGAATTTAAGAGTGTGAGGAACACAAACAGGATTTTGAAAAGTGGGCATTTCATCCCTGTGCTCAGTAGAAATTATGCCACTGAGAAATCATAAGTAAAATATAGGTAGTTGTCGACAAATAGCAAACACCGTTTAATGTTATTTTCATTTTAAATACACACCACATATATTTATGTAGTTTGATATTTATAAAGTCTAATGTTTGGAAAATATGACTAACTAATGATCAATTCTTTCACAGATTTATTTATTTTTTTTTCCTGAACTGTATCTCATGGTGGGTCAGTGTTTAGCACAGTCGCTTCATCGAAAAAGGTCACTGGTTCGAGCCTGTGTGAAGTTTGCATGTTCTCCCGTGTTCACGTGGGTGTCCTCCGTGTGCTCCGGTTTCCTCGGCAGTCCAAAGACATGCGCTATAGGTGAATTGAACGAGCTAAATTGGCCATAGTGTATGTGTGTGATTGAGTGTGTATGGATGTTTCCCAGTGCTGGGTTGCGGCTGGAAGGGCATCTGTTGTGTAAAACGTATGCTGGATAAGTTGGCGGTTAATTCTGCTGTGACGACCCTTAAGGAATTAAGGGACTTAAGCCGAAGGAGAATGAATGAATGTATCTTCAATACTTAAATTAAGAAAACCAACTTTTATTAATAGAGTAAAATAGTGTGAGAGCGACTTATTTTCATGATGTGCCATTTATTTTACTTGAAAATGTCAATATATAATTTTTTCTTTATGACTCGTTGGACGTTTTTAGTAAAAAGTGGTGTCACACCAAAGGACATAAAAGCTTAATTTTATTGTAGTTCCAAAAAAGTTCAATACTAGGGCTGGGCGATTAATCAAAGTGGACATTCTGAACCTATAATCGATCTTAATTTTCCAGGATGATTTTTATCTATTACTTTCCCTATGTGTCATGTGTCACTGCTAAAGGCTGTGGCTGATTTATACTTTTACAGCCATATCTGATCTCTGATAGGACGATGAACCCATTCTTGAACCTTACTTTGCACTTCACTGACGATGATTGGAAGCTTATTAATTATCTATTACATTAAAGTTATTATTTACACTAAAATATTTGTTTATGGAAGATGCAAGAAAGTTTAAAATATTATTTACAGGATATACAAAAGCTATTTTACTTAGAAGAGATGCTGGTTGTTTTCTACTTTTTAATATGAAAAAACATTGAGTTTCTCATTTTCACTTTTTTATATAAGAAAAGTGACTTGGTTTTAGGCAGTGTGTGTTTTAATTTCTGTTGTTCAACGTTGATGTTCAAGAATTGATAGTAGATGGTGTGTGTTTCCTTAAATTATTTAAAAATCAAGTAATGCACTCTTCATTCAAAAATCACTGACTTGTAATATGTGAGCATATTTACTGTACAAAAACTGGTCAGAGAACTTTGAGGACCAAAAAAAGTAAACATTTATTTTGATTTTAGGCTTAATCGCCTAGCCCTGTTAAATATATGGAAAATTCTGAGACAAACTGAAAAGATGCATATCATGGGCTTCACAGAGGGATTCAGACACATGCTCTTGAATGGGGTCCTTCAACTATTAACGTTTTCTGTGCAAATGGCAATATAAAATGATCAGAGAAGGTGGTTTTTAGTGACAAAATGCATCAAGTATCATGTTTTTAAGAATGTATTGATAAAACACATGGTCACCATTTACTAAAATAGATCATGTAATAAAAAATAGGCCTGGGGTATTTATTAATTATAGTTTTTCATCTATTCATTTAAGTGCTGTAATCTATTGATATGCATGAAATGTAAAAAAAAAAAACATTTATTAACAGCATTTTTTATAACAAGATCCATGGGAGACATGACATGTTTAATCATTTACTGCATTTTAAATTATGTCAATATATATTATAACTATTTTTGTCATGTCAACAATCCATGCATGATGACACGTTATACTGAACTTTAAAAAGTTGGTAAATTGTACTTTCAGTATAAGGTCAATCTGTTTGGCTAAACACTTTAAAATAGTCATTTTTTTGCGGTTAGTTGAACCACAGAATGATTCCCTTCTTTATCTGGCATGGCTGAATGATTTTAAATGGTATAGAGCGCAGTAGGAGAGATGAAGTGGACCGTTTCCGAAATGAGAGAAAGCTACAGTTGTCAATTACAGAGGATGCTTTTTTTATGTCCAAATTTTGGAGTTTAGTTTTGGGAATGTTCATAAAAGTGTTTCTTTCATGGGTGCTAAACTTGCTCTGTGCGTTGTAAAGGAGAGCGCTGCGTGTGTCTAAGGTTGACTGATGCTTATGATGACCTCTTTTATTTGACAGATGGAGTTTCAAATACAGCAGCTGTCAAACCTAATAACCGAGCACATGAATAAATGAATCCATTCACACAATCCAAGCAAGCCTGTAGCATTCATACTTTTTTCAGACCCTTTTTTTTCCACAGAGATAATAATACAGAACATAGAGCAAAGAATCAGAGCTATCCATCAGACATTAAAAGTTGTCTTTGCCGAATAATAGCTACTAGGTCAAACTTCAGAGCTGGAAAGCCTGAAGGACTTCTGTTCCTTTTAAAGAAAGAGGAACTTGTCAATAGGTCAGAGCAGTTAGTGTTTTCGTGTCGGGTAGTGTTAAGTTTCCTTTGAAGCCCAATTACTGTCGTATGACTCTGTGTGTGTGTGTGTGTGTGTGTGTTTGACCCCTGACTTGCCTTTCAGTTAATCAATAGCTCTTGGGGAAGCATGTCGTACATCTTTAGAATGTCATCAGAATTATTTATCATGTGAGGTTGTGTTGTAACGGATCACAAATCTCACTGTTTGGTTTACAATATGGTTTTTGAGTCACAGATTGGACCTCCCTTTTTTTGCTGATCCAAAAAAATGGAGACAAATGTCAATTGCTTTCCATTTATACCAAAAATATTACTGCAAAAACCATTGGTTTTAACAAACATAACTTAGATCCTGTCTTTTTAATAAAAATCAAGAAAGAACCAGCTGGAAAAAAAAGCAAAATATTCAATATGAAAAATTATCTTTGCTACTAGGGATGCACCGATGAGGAATTTTGCAACCGATACCCATTTCTTGTCATGGTGATCAGCCGATACTGAGTATTGATTCTGATGCTTCAAGCCTTATAATACATGAAGCACATTTTCCCTCTAAGTATGACACTTGAGTGGAGATCTCACCATACCTAGAAGAATAAATGAAGGATGTTCCATATAATCCCTTAAACGTGTCACTTATAACCTTTTTAGTGAGAACATGTCATGGTCAGAAGCAGCTTTACAAAAAGTAATGGATAAAATAGCCAAAAACATATTATATGTAAAAATGCCTTAATACATGCAAGGCCATTCCAATCTCTTGCTAATTCAACCTCATTTCCATGATTTCAGGTTTTTTTATCTAATTCAAAACTCCTGTTGTCGGTTCATGAGATCGTCCAGATTGGCGAGAACTGATCGAGTTATAAAATGTGATTATCGGCCGATACTGATCTCAAGCCGATTGATTAGAGCATCCTTATTTGCTAGTTGCTGAAAATGCTAAATATAGAAATTTTAACATCTTGTACAACATATATTTGTTTTTAATTAATGATTCAACAATTCACACATAAAACTTGTTTCATTTTAGGTGTATCATGTTTGAAAACCTATTCAGTTACATAATTTTGATGGTTGTTTGTCGCCACCCATTGGTTACACAATGTAATTACTACAACATTTACCAGCGTCAAGTTCCATTAAACAGTCATTTTAATCTTTAACATATACATCAGTGTTTATATCTGAGCTATTATCCCATTACTGTTCTTCCAGTATTTCTGTTTTATTAAATTGTTTGTAACCAGCTTAAAAAAGTGTAAAAGTTTAATCTTTCTTAATCAAACACAGATTTGAATGCAGCGCTTCGAAGGATTAATAAGCATATGCAAATCTTTATCATTCATATTGTGATCTCAATTCAAATCCGCATAACCTTTTAATGTTTAATTGTGCAGCTGAAAGCATTAACGCAGGCTAAACAAACAGTGACAAAAAACACCTTTAATTAATAAACCAAGAAAACATTTAGGTACCACTACAACATTTTCCGTCATCATTATATTTTACAGGGAAGCCAAAATGTATTCATACATGTGATTTGAGTGACGCGGGAGGCGATCTCTCTGCAGTTGTTTTAAATGTTGGATTAACCGACAAGTTGGAAAAGGTTTTTTGCGGTTCACATGTGTTTTGAACTGTGGGTTGTGATCTGTACAGATCATGGATCAACAGTGTTCCATTACACCCCTAATGCTGGACACTTGCATTAACGCCTCATTAATACTTCCTCATTAAATTCTGTTCTTCATAATTATTTATCTTTTACTCGCCCTCCACTTGTTCCTCATCTGTTGTTGCTGTTCAGCACAAGATAACATATTTTGTGAAATGATGGAATCTGATAGCTGTTGAAATCCAGTGGTTGTTGATGGCTACCTGTTTCTGATTCTTCAAAATATTTAATTAAATTCATGTTTATTCATATAGCGCTTTTAAAATGTAGATTGTGTCAAAGCATCTTAAAGCCTGATTTATACTTTCGCCTTTGTGATATTCTTTAAAACTACAGGGGGCGATAAAAAGAAACTTACTGTAAAATCAGACGGATAAACAGAGAAGTAGGACGATTCAAGAACTACATCATATCATTAATTTCATTCAAGATATTTAAACTAATTATTTTTCTAAATTATTTTAGTCATTTATAAAGATTTTAATAACCATTTAAGATTTTTTAAATTCAAACATTATGCATCACTTGCTTTTGCTCGTATCTCGGGCACGATTTAAAGTTAAAAAGCCTACAAAAACAAGGCGTTAGCATATTGTAAACTGTTAGGTTTAAATATTCTTTTACAGTTATTAAAGAAATAATTTGTGAATTCATTTTATTTTTGTAGCTATTAAATAGTTTTAAATTTAAAATTGTAATATACATCAGTGTAAAACCTGTGAATGGTGGAAAGGGTCTCCACATTTGCCATGACCTCTCTTTTTGGTTTTAACAAACTTATCCTTCAGATTTTTCTAAACTTTTAACAAAATCTTTCTTCCTTTCCCACTACGGTTGCAAATTTTAGCCTGGAATTATTGGTCATCTGATTATCCCTGTGATCACGCATGGACGGATCATAAACATGTCTGTACAGATGTACCGGTTTCATACAAAATCTCTTCAAAGTGTTTCATATTCAACTTAAATCAAAAGGGGCACCTTGTAAACTGTTCGCTCGAGTCTCCAAAAAAAACATGCGCTCCGCCTGCCGAAATCATGTTGTGCACACCTAAAGTGAACTTCCGGTAACACAGCGATGACGCCATATTCGCTGGTCGCACTCGATTAAACTAGCGTACGCGTCGAGTATAAACCAGGCCTAACATTGAAGTTGTGGTATGTTGCAACTGTGTCAGTCGAGTATTCAGAGTTAAAGTTCAGTTTAGTTCAGTTCAGTGTGGATTTTTACTGCTGAATGTCCAAAAACTGAAGAGAAAACCATCAATGGGTAACTCCACAAGTCCCAAACGAGCAAGCCAGTGGTGAACGTGGCGAGGAACAAAATATCTTGTATTGTGTTCACCGGAAAAAAATAAGTTTGGAATTGCTTGAGGGAGAATAAATGGCTTTCAAATTATCATTTTGAATCAAACTACTCCTTCAAGAGAACCTTTAGCAGCACCCTAGCCTCTCACTGTGTAATTTTAATCAAGTGTCTCTGTTCAACGTACAGGTTTATTTTACATAAATGAAAATCCTGTCGTTATAATTACCTACTCATCTAAAAGCTGTTAAATTTCAGTCATTATACAGGGAAAAGGGCATGTTAGTTTCCTAAAATTTACTGAATAAAGAAGCAATACAACTTGCTTTGAAAGTTTGTTCATTTTCATTTGGGTGATACTGAACATTTCAGACATGATGGTGCGATCACATCAATCATACTAACACACAGCGTCATAATATTATGTTTTGTGGTCTCCCTGTGTATGTTTTAGCAATTACATCATCATTCATTTGAATAATGGACACAGGGTAATTATGGCGGTGTTCCAGGTCTATTAGAGATGAATGTAATCAGTTCTTGAGCCTGTGATGCCAGTGTTTTCTAAGGGAATGATTTAGTTACAATACTAGCCAGCTAAGATAAAACATTTTCAATTTGAAAGATTGTACTTAGAAACGGCCAGAACAACATATGCTCATTAAAAAGTGTTTATTGCACCTACTCGGTTTAGTAGCCATGTTTGTCCCTGCACAATTAAAATTCTCTAAACTCTTGCCAGACCTGCGACCTGATTAAGGTGCTGATTTTTCAGCATTAGTTCACATAGTCGGTTGCATTAATATTAATTAGTAAAGGTTAAGAAAATCTTAATGGCTCATCTACACACACCACTTATTTAATCATAGTATCTACAGCTTCTTAATTACAAATTGTCTTGATTTTTCTTTTATAGGTTTTGCATGGCAGAGTGTGATGACCCATGCACGGCAGAGGAACTCTTTGTGTGGATATAAGAGTGAATCTGCGGACCAGGTCAACTGCCGGATAACTATGGACAGAACTTGGCCAGAAAAGAAGGCTAAAAGATGTTCAACCCAAAGAGGAAAAGCTAAGGAGGTAAAAGGAAAGTCCGCTGAGAGAGACCGGAAGCTGTACCCCCTCAGGGGACGGCATGGATTGGGTGAAGTGAGTGCACTAAACTGCTGTGTTGTACTGACGCGCTTGGACGAGAGTGAAACGTGTAGGAATGGCATGAAGGCCCAGGTGAAGGAAATGCAGGGGAAGTCAAAAATCTGCAAGTGTCGCAAGAAAGCCTGTAAATCTTGCAAAGCGTCTGAACCAAAAAGCAAAGTGAAACCTGATAAATCTGCCTTATACACAGAATTCATCCTTGAACCTCGCCAGAGACGGCTGGCCTCTCTGAATGCAGAAGCCGTTAACAGTCTGCTCTTGGACAGAGTAGACCCCCAGCAGACATCAAAACCCTCAAAGAAGCAGCAACAGACAAAAGGAGACCCCTCTCTCTCTAAAGACACTGCTAAAGATAATGATTGTCCCAGAAAAAGCCAAGACAACAGAAAACGGGGATGTACCGGAGAGACCGAACCAAACCGGAATCCCAAAAAAGCGAAGACAGAAAGCGACACTATTGATCTTCAGACTCTAAACAGTCCTGCTCCAAAGCGTCTGGCTGGTTTAAATGCAGCAGCCCTGCTCAAGCTGACCAGCACATCCTCGGCAGGCAAGCGCAGGGGTAAAACAGAAGGCAAACCGAGCGCTGGCGGTGTGCGAGGGAAGCAGCTACTGTCTAAGTCACGTAAACAGCAGCACAACTTGGCCTGTCAGTCTACGTTAAAGGTGTCGCAGCAGTGCTGCAGCTTCTGTGAGAAGCATGCTCTACACAATGAGGCATTATGGGATGGGAGCACAGGAAGCCATGGCTTTATTAGCCCAGGATATCAGTGCAGATCCATGCTCGGCTTTCCCCTGAAGCCTGTGAAGGAAGAGAAAACGGAGACTGATGTGAAATCATATTACTGCTGTTCCCAAGAGAGATCAGTGGAGTACTGCCATAGACTAGCCCTGTTCCTCGGCCAAAAACCCTTCCCGGAAACGGATGAACATTCTCTGAAGGGATTTCTTCCTTCTCCACACACTCTGACGCATTCAGCGATGCCCATCGGTGCCCATCCGTATCCCTGTTACCCTGGTTATTACGTCCACATTGCTCATCATGGGACTCCATCGCTTCCAGTAAGCTCAAACCAAGGAAGCCACCCGCCCTCGTCTGTACCCCCGCTGAAGATGTGCTCTAGCGGAGTCCAGAGACCCAAACTGCTGCCCTCTACGGTGTCCCATCCTACAGGGATCCCTCATCCGGCGTACTGTAACTCTGTGGGCACCTGCTATGGTGAAGCCTGCAGGCTCAGCAGCTATGCCTACAGGCCCACGCAACCCATCACTAGCAGGGGCTGTTCATACAACGCAGGATGCTCCAGCTGCATGCACAAAATGGAAACAGGTAGGATGAGCAATGGAATAAAAGATTCTAATGTTTCTTGCTTTGTCAAACTAGCTTCATGCCTATTGACCTTATTTTTCATGTACAAGTGGGCGCATCCATTGGAAACTTTTTGACTCGAGACTTCCAGTCTTATTTACTTCCACTGATTCTTACACGTTAAAAAGCGCTTGTTATGCTGCTTTATCTTGCAATCTGATATTATTATATAATATTCATACATTTTTTTGTATAGTAATGAACATACTTGTTTGTATGGCAAATAGTTTGACCGTTTTCTGCTGTTTTATTATTCTTAGTTATTTCTCTTATAGGCAGCTAAATCAGAAGTTTTAAAAAAAAGCGCAAAAACAAGCGCACTTCTGCATTGCAGCATAAGGTCAATAACTATAAAAGTAACTGGGAGTCTTTACACTTGAAACAAATTTTACACTTGAGTTCTGTACAGGAGATTATGATTGACGTATGGAAGAAAGAGATGTATTTCACAGTAAAGTGGGATTGCATTTTTATGGAATTCAGAAATAGCAAGCATAGTAGAAACTTTAAAGCATGCACAAATGCATGGCAGAATACCTACTAAACTAAAAAAATGAATGTTTCCTGTTTTGAATTTTTTATACTTTTGTGAACAGGCAACAATGGTTTCAAAACGCTCTCTTTATGCACTGATGCAAAATCCTGTATTCATACATGTCAGGCCTGTTTGTGGCAAATTCACCATTATGGTTTAGTTCGGTTACCAACACATGTCTACAGACTGAACACTTTTTTTTCACAAAATTGTCTGTAGTTTTTGATGAGAATACAAAAGTGTTGCGAAAATGGTGTTGTCAGTTCCCCTAAAATATTCATCTTATAATCAATTGAAATATATAGGTTTCAATTTTAGGTTTTATTAATTTATATATATATATATGTATATATATATATATATATATATTTATTCAGTGTTTATTTTTCTTTAGTTTCACTTTAGGAAATTACTTTAAATTATGTAAATAATTACATTGAAATAATTAAAAGTGATAATAAAGTTATTCTTAATGTAAACAATAAATTTTTCTTTGTCTCTTATACAATAATAAATACTTTTAAAGGGAACCTACGATGAAAATTTTATTTTGCAAGCTGTTTGGACAGAACTGTGTGTAGGTATAGTGTATTAGGGTGATATAGACAATAAGTCTCTTTTTGACATAGGAGTGCGGTTTTCCCACCCACGAGTCGTGATTTCATACGTCTCCGTAGTAACGCATATCCGTAGTAACACGTATAATCATATCAACAAGACAGGACTGTGCAAAGCAGCCAGGAAATTCTTACTGTAGTATTTCTCACAAATGTTACGTGAGATCCGCTTTATGTCTGTCACTGTGCTGTTTATCTGATGCAGCCGAGGTGGAGATTGTGGCACACTCTGACAGGCACATGTGAACAGTGGGTGGGGAGAGCTAGCATTAAAGACACAAGCAACAGAAACAGCTACATAGTGTTCAGAGCAGAAAATTCCAGGTAATAATAAGTCATCTAATGGGGGTTTTGAGCTAAAACTTACACATTCTGGAGACATGAAAGACTGTCTTTTAAAAAATGGGTAAAGTAGGTGCCCTTTAAAATATATATACAAATTAAACCAGATTATTTTGAATTGCTCAAATATTTTACAATATTCTTAAAAATAATCTTACAAAGCCCAAAGCTTTAGAATGTTAGCATGACATTGTTTTATCAATAAAACAAATGAGTATAACATTTTAATTGTCCTTTAAGGTTTACTAAAGAGTTCTCAAGCTCATATCAGTTTGTAAAATAACAAACGAGTGAATTTTTCAGGAACGTTTATCTCTGAAACTGATGAAGTGATTTCCATTCATCACCGTCATCCTATACCATGTTTGTATCCACATCCTTGACCCAGTCTCAGCAGTAGACGTCTTTGTGAATAAGCTCAAGCGGTCTTGAAAGTGATTGATCTGAAGGTGCGCACAACAAATACAGTGACATTAAGAAACCCCATCGACGTCGCATCAAGGACTCGCGAATGGCATGAATGGGAGACAAATGAAATGAAATTCCCTTCCCCAGCCGTGTCATTGTGGCTGCATGTTCCCTGCAGTCTGCTCGCTGCTGGTTTGAATGTGAGTAATTGCCACAGGTGGGGAGGGTGCTGGTTTATTTTTGTTGGCAGGAGTCTTGAACTGTCTGTTCATTGTGAGGCGGCAGCTGTGGTCGCGCAGCCTCTTGCGAACCAGAGACCTCCGCAGACCTGCTCCCTCGTCGCTTTTTAACCACACGGCTGGGTTATACAATGTCATTTTTCACTCGCCGTAATCTCCGTTAATGAGACACCGATCTGACTCTCTGCGGGTTTCTCTTTAGGTACAGCATGACTTTACTGTGCTAAGACAAACAAGTATAGCAGAGGCATTACGTAGTGTTACTTTAAAACTGCTGCATTCGGATGACTATTAAATGGATAGTTCACACAAAAATTAACATTTACTCAAGTGATAAATTCTTACCTGTTTTCTTTTGTCCTATGAAGAATGTTAAATGAAATTTAATCAGATGATGTCATTATACTGCTGTGCCGTCAGCCAATCATTGTATTGCTGATCATGATTTTGTGGAGCGATAGATCTGTCCTTCACAACATATAAGATCCAGGATCTGTCAAATCATCTTAAATCTTTTAAGCGAGGTACGAAGAATGGACCTCTGGTCAATTTGCATTTTAAAATATTTTTTGCTTCTTCTACTTCTATTTAAACAAAAGCAAAAATACTTGAGTCTGGTATTTTAGCACAAGGGGCGACACAGTGGCGCAGTAGGTAGTGCTGTTGCCTCACAGCAAGAAGGTCAGTGGTTTGAGCCTCGGCTGGGTCTGTTGGCGTTTCTGTGTGGAGTTTGCATGTTCTCCCTGTGTTCGCGTGGGTTTCCTCTGGGTGCTCCGGTTTCCCCCACAGTCCAAAGACATGTGGTACAGGTGGATGGGTTGGGTTGCGGCTGGAAGGGCATCTGCTGCATAAAAACGTGCTGGATAAGTTGGTGGTTAATTCCGCTGTGGCGACCCCGGATTAATGAAGGGACTAAGCCGACAAGAAAATGAATGAATGAATGTGAGCAAAACAGTCACAAGTTTACAGTATACAATATACTTTGTAGAAATTCAGTGAATTAAACTGCACAACCCTAAAGAAATAATGCTAATCAAAAAAATAAGAGTTACTCTCACTAAAGAACATTTATTTAACATTTTTGCACGTATGAGGAAAAAGCTTTGTTATGGGTGTGACATCTCTCTGTTATGGTTGTGACATGTGAAATTTGCACTGTTGTGACTATGGTAAATCAAAAATAATAGTTTGAAAACAATGACAGAGACATGTTTAAGTATTTTACAGTACTGTAAAATACAAGCCTACACAAAAGCCTACACTATTTTGGTTTTACTCGACATTTGCTTGAAATTACTCGCACTTAAACGCGGATGGTGTAATGGCTGAGCCTGTTTCTAAGATAAGATCATGCTAATCTGTGTTCAGTTCCTGGTTGGAAAATCCTGCAATTCCCGTAGTTGGGAGCAATGTTTTAACATTATCACAATGAATTGAATTAAAAAAGGAAACAAACTTTTAGATCGAATTTTGCTTAATGTTGCTAAAGGGCCAGTTACATCCAAACACTTCTGAGTTAGCTAATTCAAATTAAAAACACTATACAACGGCAATTACTTAGCAGTTGTATTGTAAAACTATGTGTTATTATCTGAGAAGAAAAATATGTAATAAAATCTCAGATCTTTGAAACTTCTGACAGTCTTATTGCAGTACTTTAACTTTAGATCTCCCGTTTTTCTTTTATCACAACTTTAACTTCATTTTATTTTGATGAACATTATTACTCAAAATTAGTTTTTCGTCTTACTATAGCATAAGGCCCAAATCAATTTTTTAGCCCTACCCCTTCCTCTACCTATTCCCTTTGGCCCTTGAAACAGATTGTGAAGGGAAAGGGCTTCAAAATTTACCCCTAAGAAATAAGACACCACTACAACACCTGCACACATCATCATATGTCATTGTGATCTCTTGCTTCATATGAGTGTTATTTTTTTGCTCTTCATCTACAGGAAAATCACAGAAGGCAACGATATCATGTTATTAGAATGATACAATGTGGCATAGCTCGTAACTATACTGTGCATTTACACCGTGGTTATATTCATCTATGTAAACACAAGAAAACACCAACCAATCACTGTAAAAAGTAAATTCCAAACACCACACTTTTCTGTCTTTTCTATCTAGCCCTTTCCACTTAACCCTACACCTTCAAGCTAAAGAGAATTGGGACAAGGGGTAGAATGGGGATTGGGCTTCTAGTGGCTGCAAGGGGAGGGTTGAGATCGGAGGGTTGAGAAAAGGGTTGAGATGGGAGAGCAAAAAAAAGTTATGTTTATGTGAAACGATTGCTTTTTTTAATAGTCTAAATTCATAGTGTTTACATAGTATGGGAAATGTAAAAATATATATTCAATACAATAAAACTGCATTAATTTTGGTGCCACTAAGAATTGCGTTTGCCTTTTCTATTTGCACAATAAGTTCAATTTCTCTTCAAAAAAAAAAGAAACTCAATAGACTTGATAACTCAATACATAGTTTTGAAACTAATAGAGGGTGAGTAAAATTATGTCAGATTTATTTTGGGGATAAACAATCATTTTAAATTGTGCAAATTGTGCAATTGTTGAAAATAGAAAGCTGTACACTTACAAAAGATACTCTCGCATTGCAAGCTCCGTCTGCTATATTGAGGTGTTCAATAACGTATGTGCTAAAAATGGACTATTAGGAGAGTGCAAATTGATTAAAGCTGTCTATACTGTGGGGAGAAGTGAAGATTTTCTTCAATAATACAACACTTCACGCTTGAGTGAATGTACAATGACTGCATTACTTTTTTTCTAACCCAGATGGGTGCACAGTGAACAG